TTCTCAGTCCAGAAGCTCTCTGTAAATCTGGTCAGCTTTCTTTATGTCTACATTTTTATAGACATGAGATAGAGATATTTTTCTTTCAGGTAACAATCATCAATCACTTCTTCCCACAGACAGATTGTTTTGTCAATTGTCAATTGAGCTGGTTTCAGTTCTAACTAGTGGTGAGGAGCACTGAGATTATACTGTAGGTGCAACAAAGTGTTAGGTGGGGAAAATGTTGGCTTTGATCCCTCAAGCAATGTCTGTAAGTATTTGTTTCTTGCAATCTGTCAAATTTCTATTAACTTTCATGTAATTCATATGTTGACGTTAACAATGCCATAGCAAATGCTCGATGGAGTTCAGATAATTTGCATTTATGTACAATTATTGACGTATATTTTGTAAATGTTTGTATTTCAGTTTCACAAAGTAATAATATTCAGTAAATTCACAACAAAGAATCTGCTTCTGTGGAGTTGCTGAGTATCTGTTTAGCTGCTTGGATAGCTAACTCTTAGTGAGGCCAAGACTGAGGCAATTCATAGCATAACATCTCAAGGCATATTACAAAGACAATTCAACCAAATCATGCAGTCAGATTGGTTTCTAAGTAAAAAGAGCTGGCTACATCAGCTTACTGACTCCACAGAAATGTACCAATTGTGCATGCAGTGACAGTGGACAGAAAAAGCTCCTTAGCCATGTTTTTTTTTTTTTTTACAGTGTTAAGTGTTGCTTTTCTCCTCTACAGTACATGGCTAAGGCTTAGGTTTTACTGAGAGTAACCACGTGTGCTCCCTTTCATCCCTTTGACATAGCAACTGGCTCAGAGCCCGCATGATGAACTATTTCTTTCCTTGACAGAGCCACACCTGGAGCTAGTCTACTGCTGCTTTTCTAATATAGACTGTAACATATCTGTGAACATTATCAGTCATCATGGTCATGGTCAAGCTTGAGAGAGGGGTTAGGGAAGCAATCTTTGTTAACCTGGAAAAAATACCTCTCCACATTTAGTTGTCTTGCATGTCAACTACTCACAAAGCCCTTTTAGGAATAATACCCAGAAGATTCACCTGTCACCTGCCCTGACCTGACTCACACTTTAATGAGGCCTGTGACGAAACCACTCTGACGAGGGAGTTAACAAGCCTTTTGTTTACTTTATGTCTCTGCGGGACTACAGAGATCTACATGCAAATTTCTTTATGACTCTTCAAAAACATCCAGGCCTTTCAAACATCAAGAAAAAGTTCTAAATTTTTAATCTGGATAAGTTCAAATGTAAAGAACCAAAAGCCATCAGTATATTAATGTAAGCATTTATATTCAGCTGACAAGCAAAATAAATTATGATAATATTAACAGCTATTTGTTTGTGACTCTATAAGCTGATTTAATTCACAGTTCTTTGTTCACATCCTTGAGTTACATACGGAAAAGTGAGGTATAGAGACAGACTTTAAAATTTCTTTAAATTTCTTTAAGTTTCTCTGGAAGAAAATATGTGTTAGAGGTAAAGGTGAGAAGTCCTCCTCTGTTGAGTTTCGGTATTTACTTTTTTTTGACATACATTGCTTACTTTATTCCTTTTTCAAACTACCTGTCCTCTTCTTAGATTTGAACATCCTCACCATGAAAAGGGTGTCTTTGCTTTTCAGGTCCAGGTGGACTATTTGCTCTGTGTTGATGGATCTTCTATGCTGTAGAATGAATTAATGCAGTTACTTGATTTCTCAAATCTAAATGTCAGCGCACTCGTTGCTGTACCAGATAAACATCGCTCAGCTTTAGTGATGCTGTTTTGTCCTTCAAAAGAAGTCTGATTTTTTTTATTCCTACAGATGTTGTTGTGTTTACCTAAAAACACCATCTGGTGTTGGACATCCGAGCCCATAAAGAAACTCTGAGGTTTCAATTTTTTTCAGTCTTTAACTGAGATAAATCTTTCTTTTTAACTTGTTCTGCATCAATTTTTGGTATATAAAAAAAATTAATAATAAAATAAAAAATCTGGTCATTTACAATGCACATTTAATTTTCTCTTAGTGAGTCTGTTCTGCAGGTTTGACTTTTTTTTCTGATGAGATTTAGTTATAATTTTCAGGATGTTATTTTCCAACAATTTGTTTAATTTCTGAATTTTTAATTGTATAAATATGGGGTTTGATGAGTCTGTGTGACAAATATATCTAATACATTTTTACCTCTGTTAGTTTCAGCAGTAAATGATTTAGTACACTGACGTTGGTTATAAATATTTACAGTAATTATCCATAATTTGATGCTCTGAGTTTTGGTTTCTCTTCTTCCTCTGAATTATAACAGAAAAGAAACTTTAGCTTTAAAACCAGTTGGACATGAGACAACAAAGCTCATATTTTAAGTATGATATTAAATGCTTCTTTTTTTCTGTGTCATAAGGTATACCAGTTTAACCAGTTTAGGGAGAGGCAGTGAAAAGGTTTTGTTTCCTTTGTAATTGTGAAGAAAGGAAGCTTAAGTAGGATTTCACAAAAACATTTTTTTCTGATGATGCACATTTGTCAGACTGAAAATTACGTTTTGGTAATAAGATATTTTAAGTACGGTAAGTGTTAAATACTCTTTATAAAGTCCATATTTTAAATCAAAAAATATTCTTTAATTAGACTGGGGTAATAATCTAATCTGACATTTAATCTTTTCATCCCCTTTAAGCTTAATATCCTTTTTACTGGAAATAAAAGCTTAAAACATAATTTTTTGTGTAATTATAGTATTTACTGTTTTTCACCTAATGAACTGAATTACTAAATAAATGTACTTTCTGGTTGTATTCTCTTATTGAAATTAATTATAAATTCAGCAAACCTGAGTCAGATCTGTAAAATCTCTGGCTATGTCCTGT